CTACAGGTATGACTTGTGCCCAGAGTGTTTCTCCCTGAATCATGTAGAAATACTTTCTTCTCTCTGAGCAGACGTGGGGGCACTCTGTCCTTTTAATTTTCCATAATGCAAACATCAGGTTGTATTTTCATGATACATCCGTCTCCACACCGGCCCACAGATCTCCTGAGGACGAAACTGTATTTTGCCTTTGGTCCGCCATGTCTCCTGGAAAGCCCGAGCACAGTGGGCCACAGGCTGTTCCGGAGACGCACTGACAGAGGGACCTGCCCCTGAAGTTGTCCGCTGGGCCCCAGGTCTCAGGGGGTGTATATTTATCCCGTGAAACTCCCCCCACCCCACCCCCCGCCAGGCTGCAGAGGGGTTCAAGAACTCCTTGTGCTGCCTTGGGCCCTGAATCACAACGACGAAGGCAACAGAGACATGTTGGAGACTCCGTCCTAGGAATACAGGGGCAGGCCACAGGTGCGCGTGGGGCACTCCAGGGCCCCGCCTGCCTTGCTGCCTCCTGTCTCCCTTCTGAGTTACATATCCTGGCTTCACTCCCCTCACAATCTGGGCTCCATAGCCCCTCTCTGCATTCTCTCTCTTTTTCAAATTAAGAAATAAACAATACATAAAACTGCAAAGTATAACATAACCGCCCAGTGTAGTCATATCTGAAAAAAGAGATTTGATATATTTGCTTCAGATTTCTCAAACCAGCAGGAAGAAATGCCCATCACAGAACACTGACATCCCCTAAACTCCCTCCTCAGTCCCCCTTGTCTTCAAAGGTAGCCACAGTCATGGGCTTAATGTGTTTCCAGTCCACATTTTCATACTTTTACTACACGTGTGCTCTCCACAGATAGTAAATATTCTTTTGTGTTTCCTCTCAAATTGCAAACACTGTATTATTCTCCAGTGAATCACTGCCCCTTGCTTCCTTCCTTCACCAGAAAGGTAACCAGGTCTGGCAGTTCTAGTGAGTCCACTTTGTCTCACAGGTCACCGTAAAGCAAACCTCTGATCAGCTTTCGTGGAGAAAGTGTCCGAAATCATCCCCATCACAGAAGTACAGAGAATGCTTTTCTGTAACACCCACAGGTCAGACGTTGGACCTCTTAACTGATCTTGTGTCTCTTGGTTCTTGGCCTTTTGTTATATTGTCTAGGATCAACTTGATTTTACCCTCTACCTTTTCTACCACATTTTTGTTTTCTAAATTCCTAGATTCACTGTTCTTGGATCATTTTGTTTTCATTGCACCCAGTTGTTGTATGGGTATAATAAACTTATGTCTTCAAAACATTGAGGTGTAACAGACATTCAATGAACTGCATATATTTACAGTATAATTTGATGCATACAGATGGGAAACTATCACACAAACAAGATAAAGAGCATCAACCCCAAATGTTTCCTCTTGCCCTTCTGTAAGCCTCCCTGCCCACCTCGCTCCCATCCACAGGCAAATACTTACCTTACACAATACAGTCTGTGCTATTTTTTGTCCTGCTTCTTTCAGTCAGCATGGTGATTCTGAGATACCGTCATTTTGTTGTTGCTGTGTATTCCTCTGTTATGGTGCAGTAGTATTCCACTGTATGGACATAACCACCAGCTGGTTAGTCATTCACCTGCTGATGGACAACTGGATTCTTTCCAGTTTTTGGCTGTTGCAAATAAAGCCGCTTCGTACATTCGCGTAAAAGTCTTTGATTAGATATATGCCTTCATTTGTCTTGGGTAATTACCTAGGAGGGACATATTTGTATCATATAGCAAGTGTGTGTTTAACTTTTCAAGAAACTGCCAGAATGCTTTCACCATTGCACATTCCCACTAGCAATGTGTGTGAGTTTCAGAACCTCTGCCTCCTTGCCAAGCCTCTGTTGGTCATTTTCTTCAATTTTAGTTATTCTGAGAGATAGGTAGCCGTGTCTCATTGTGGTTTGATTGGTGTTTCCCTCATGACCAAAGATGGTGAGCATCTTTGCATGTGCTTATTGCCGCTTGTATGTATTCTGTGGTGAAGGGTCTGTTCAAATCTTTTGCCCGTTAAAAAGATTGTTTTAAAATTTTTATTGTTGGAATTTGAGAGTTCTTTATGTATTTGGAGGCAGAATTCGTATCGGGTGAGCAATTTGTCAATCACACCAGCAGTCAATTCGTGGACATTGCTGGGTCATATTCTGGGCCCCATGACCCTCTGTCCACGCACCTGCTGATGCCCAATCTCCCCACGTTACATTTTTTTTCTAAAACATTTCCCTTTTGCTTCTGGAGTGATGTTTCTCCAGAGGCATTTGCTTTTTTTTCATGATGTAGACTTCACTAAGTATCTGGTGATCCTTGGTCATCAGTGAATATTGCTGGAAAGGCTCCAGAAAAGCTGAGTGGGGGCCTGTACCTGAGGAGACCACACCTGCCTGGGCTCTCATAGGACACAGGCAGAAGCTAACCAGCTACTACACTGGTGGATCCCTAAGAACCAAAATGTGGGGAATGTTTTTCTCTGGGATGTCAACAGCTAGTTACTCTGCTTCTCCCCAAATAGCTAATTTTTATTTATGAAAGGACCCCCCTCCCTTGCTCCTTCCCCAACCCCGCGCCCACTGTGTTATATATATAGCTTCTGGGTTTTATTGCTGTTTGTGGGGTGCAAGAATGGAGGGGGTACTATTGCGTGCTCTCAGTATAAAGTCCGGTTGGCCTTCATTCTGAGGCGCGCGTTTTCACCTCTCCCTTCTGTCAGCCGTGGCATTAGGACCTGCTATTTCCCCAGGGCACGCTGTGGGCTCTCCATGGCCATAGCTCCCCGCCCCGCCTTCTCAGCCCAGCCCTGTGCCCTTCAGTTCCCTCGCAGTGATTATAGCAGGTCAGGATCAGGAGGGGGAGTAAAAGCATGTGTTCAGTTCATCATATTGAATTGGGAACTTTTAAGTGTACTTCTAAAAAACATAAAAACCATTCCTAATGTTGCCTTTTTTTTAAGAAAATACCTTTCTAAATCACTATAGAAAATGTAAAAAAAAAAAGGAAGTTGCAAACAATAAAAACAGAAAACATGATAAAAAGCATCTTAGTATAGCAGTTAGTGGGAGAATTTGAGCCAACATATTCAATGGCAAAGTCTGTTTATCATGTTGTTAAAGATAACCAAACAAATGACATTTGAAGGCTTGGAAAGGCCAGGAAATGCTGGATGAATTTGTCAATAAAAGCAGCAGAATGATAATTCTTTCATGAAAGCCAGATCCCAGGGCAGCAGCTCCAGCAGGAAGATCACCTTAAATTGTTAGCAGGGATAGATAGAAAGTTTAGCAGAATGCCAGCATCAAAACACAAAGCACTGGGTGTTATATGCAACTGATGAATTATTGAACACTGCATGTGAAACTAATGATGTACTGTATGTTGGCTAATTGAATTTATGTTAAAAAAGAAACAAAACACAAAGCAAAACCTCTTAGAAGTACAAGGAAAATTTGACACGGAAGAAAAATAAGGTTGCAGAGAATTTTAACAATATGATCAATATCCCTGAATTAACAAGCTACAGAGCAAATAGCATCAACTATAAAGAACGGCCTTGTTATTGTTATAAAAGGCTCGAGGCTGCAAAAGAAAAAATCAAAATCCGCAAAGGAGAGACTGTTTCACAGCAAACAATCTCTACTATATCCACACGTGTGAAAAAGAACAAAAGCCTTTCCATGAACTCTCCCAAATCGTTGAAAAGAAAAAAGCATCATGTCCAATAAAAATTAATTTCCTAGAAATATTGAGATCAAAGCAAACCTAAGAAGTACAGCTGGAGACCATTTAGGATCATAATTCTAGGAAAATGTCATCAGTGTCACTTCGCAGAGAGACACACAGGCTTAAAAGCTGAAAACACACCTGCGGAGAAAGCAGCTGAATGCGGCACTCCTCCAAGGCAGCTGTGAGCACAAGGAGATCTTCCCTCAACTAGAACAGTGAAGATAAAAGCAGATATGAAGTTAGGAGATACAGGGGAAATCACCATAACAAAAATTAGTTTAGAGTAAGACAAGATAAACTGAGAATATCTGATGAAAAAAACGACCCCCCAGATCAGAGCGTCCAGGTGGGCGCGTTCTCAGGTGCTGCCCCCTCGCACCCGCGGGCTAACCCTCCTCACTTCTTCTTTTTTTTTTTTTTAAAGATTTTATTTATTTATTTGAGACAGAGAGAGCACATGAGAGGGGGGAGGGTCAGGGGGAGAAGCAGACTCCCCGCTGAGCGGGGAGCCCGATGCGGGACTCGATCCTGGGACTCCAGGATCATGACCTGAGCCAAAGGCAGTTGCTTAACCGACTGAGCCACCCAGGCGCCCAACCCTCCTCACTTCTGATGTGTACAGAGAATCTGTGAAAATCTCAAGGGAAATACCACAGATTTTTTTTTTTTAAAGCAAAGAAATGATCCCATTGGCTAAAGTAGAAAACAGACCAGTAAGTGTGCAAGAAAATAAAAGAATGCTCCAAACAGTAATCTCAAAGAAAGGCATTCCTGTTAAAATCACACGCGAATCCTGACAATCACCTCTTTTATTCAGGATTGTCTTCACGTTACTTGCTACTCTAAGAAGCAAACAACAACAAAAGTGACAGCTTCAAATACCGCCACACAAGAACGTGGCATGTTTGCAAGTGACATGACTGCAAAGTGAGGGAACTGGAGAATAACCAGAGAAAATTGTAGGAATTCATAAAATCCTCCCAGCAGTATGGCAAACATCAATAGCTTTGATTTATCCCAGTTATAAATGTACTGGGGATGCATTTTCAGCCACAATGAACAAAGCATTAAACACCCAGGAATGAGATTCACACGGAGAGTGTCTGTTGCATGGCTCCGCTGAGACTCGAGAGTATGTGACACTGTGAAATTGTTAACCTTGGTGGGAAGCAGGTTTCAGGGCTCCAGATGCTGTCTGAACTTGTAGAGTGAAGACGTGTGGATAGAATGGAGTCACACTGAAGACAAAATGCCTGGATTTTATGTAATTTTATTAATCTCCTCATTGTAATTAACACAGTAACTGATGACTGTTTACTAAGTTACAGTTTTTAAGAAATGGGAGGGCAGGGAGCCAAGATAGAACAGGGATTCTTCCTATTAATCGTGCACCTGGTGCAGGCCAGCGAAACCAGTAAGGGCGCATCAAAGCCTGAGTGAACGCAAAGGTCCGGTGGCCCCGGCCGCTCACATGAAGAAGGAACATTCGCGGAAGCTTCCCAGCTCTCAGACCAGCATCCTGCTCCTGCCCAGTGCACCTTGCAGAACACGGCGGCCTCAATCTCTCCTGACGCGCTCGGCATTTTGGGTGTTCCTGAGGCAATCCAGAATACTTAATGCTTCACGTTTTCCAGTGATCGGAAAATGGCCAGGAAAAGGGACAATGTTCATTCAATAACAAGATTTCTGTTAAAAAAAATGTGCTGTTTCCAGTTAAAATGAAGCACAGCTGCACCGGACAAGTTTTTGGTGAATTCTGAAACCACAAGAGACTCTAAAAATCCACTCACCCTGAGAACACGGCTTCTGTGTAAAACCTTGTAAGGGACACCGACCCTGGTTGGGAAGGCCAGCCAAGAGAGGGTGCAGGAGGCCCGCCGGGTGCTCTGGACGCCCCCCCCCCCACCTACAGAGCAGTGTCAGTGGGCCAGAGTGAACAGTCTGCTCCTTCCTTCCCCTGCTCCTGTGGTTTCCCACTCTGTGGAGGTGGCGGCCACCCAGGCAGCGCTGTCCCAGGCCAGGAGGGGACCTCCACCGTGTGTCCATCAGAGCTTCACGGAGTGGCCCAGAGATTGAACAGCCTTCTAGTTGGAGATTGCTTTTAAATATCTGGCAATAGGCAGTAAATTTTACTACTGCCATTTATCTCCGTGGACCTCTCAAGAGCATCTAGAGTAAGGAATTCTGTTTCAAGATATTGTTTTGCAATATTGAAGGTAAAGAAGTACCTTCCAACATCCCAGTTCTACCCAGAAGGAAGAAAAAATCATCTTGAACCAGAGCCTACCAATGCCTCTGGCAATCAGCATAAGGAGGCTCCCCGCTGCCTTGGGGGCTCTAAGTCCTTTCAGTGGGAGACAGAGCGGTTTACCCCTTAGGAGCACACCCAGCACCCTGCCCTGCTGTGGAGTCATCTGGGGAGCCAGGCTGTAGAAAGTGCCAGATGCCTTTTGTCCGGGCCTCAGCTGGACTCCTTGCTGTGCCTCAAGGTCTCTGCCCCACAACACCCACAGTGAGAGCCCAGGCATTCCCCTGGGGCTGTGGGAACACCACCACACCGTGGGTGCCCCTGGCCTCTGACCCAGCAGGATGAGAGGAACCAGAGAGGCGGGCCTGCCTTTATCAGGGGAGGGAGGAACATGGCCTTTGGCCTTGGACTGATGGCTGGAATGGGTTGTGAGGGGCAGGGGTGTGTTTCAGCCCACAGAGGCCACCAGAGATGGCTTGTCATTCTGGTCTTGTGCACACTTAGCTGTACGTAGTCAAAACAGGAGACTCCAAAAGCAGAGAAACGGTCAGCTGGAATGACCCAGAGTTCCCGATTCTTGACCCAATATGCAGCCCAGTCGTTCAACCTGCATTCCAGTCTGATTAGTTTGCCATTAGGTAGCTTAGAAATTCATAGGAAAAAATGCCTACAGCAAATCTTGAAAAAGATGAAGGAGCAGGAAAACGGCAGAGACATAATTCATTTATATAATCATGAAATGCCGCAAGTCCAAGATGAGTCCATTGACAATGGACTTAAAACAAATATGGGATTATAATTTTTCTGAACTTTGGATAATCTTCAAATTTTTCAAGGTACCACCTAAAATAAGACAAAAAAGAAACAGTAAGAAAAGGGTATGATTTTGTCGCTTAAACATTTAATGGATGCCGGCAAAGGGCAACACTTTTCATTGCGCAGGAATACGGAGATTTTTAGGAGTAATACTAAAAACTGTGGCATTTCAGAGATGTAGTTTGATTTTGTCTCTACGAGGAATAATTAAATATATTTGATTCTAAAGCATGATTCATAAGAAGTAGCCCATGTAATTCGCTCAGGAGGAGTGTCTCCAACGTCGTCTTCGTCTGGTGACTCCCCATGGTTTTCCTCGGACCCCAGGACACAGCTCCGGCTCCGGCTCCGGCTCTGGCTCCGGCTCCGGCTCCGGCTCCGGCTCCGGCTCTGGCTCCGGCTCTGGCTCCGGGGTCTGTGGAGCGGGCACCCAGCTGCGTGCCAGGGGGCTCTCAGACAAATCTGGGAGGCGCGGGGGGGCGGGCACACGGAACAAACACATTTTCGGTGTTGCTATACACGACATCAACGAGGCACCCCCCCCCCTCGTTTTGGGGTAGTGGCTAGTTGGGGAGGGCGGCATCTAAGGGGATGGAGTGAACACTTAAAATAACCTGGCAAGATGGAGAAATAGCCAGAAAACAAGGAGTTTCTGTCAGCACAACAGATAAACAGACGAAACATCATGATGGGAAGTGATTATGAGCTCATATGGCGGAAATGCGTGACAGCAGCAACCTGACAGGGAGTCGGCAAAATCTGCTGGTTTCTGGCACGTTTCACACCATGGTCGGCGGACAGATTGGAACTGCAGCCCATCAGATGGCCGTGGGCGCTTCCACAAGCTGTCCTGCAACCCCGGGGAAGCCACGAGCCGCCCTGCGCCCCCCAGGGAAGCCCCGCGCCGCCCTGCGCCCCCCGGGGAAGCCACGAGCCGCCCTGCGCCCCCCGGGGAAGCCACGAGCCGCCCTGCGCCCCCCGGGAAGCCACGAGCCGCCCTGCGCCCCCCGGGGAAGCCACGAGCCGCCCTGCGCCCCCCGGGGAAGCCCCGCGTTGGCAGGGAAGAGAACAGTCCGAAAACATTCCTCCTTCCCATTCCTCTTTCCCAATTCCCATTTTGCCCTAAAACCACAGCATCTGTTAGCAACTGGGCACAGCTGACCCAATGTTTCCGACCTAGAGCTTAATTATCAGTATAATTCTCTATGAATTTAAATATTTCACATCCAATTATAGAAATAAACTCAGTGTAATAAAATATTGCTTTGAGAACATCATAATAAATAAAATACGGGGCTAGGAATAGTCCCATGGATTGTTTTCTTTTAGTTTAATTAGCTGGGTTCGCTGGATTATTTAAAAAAAAAAAAAAAAGGATAGCTTTTATTTTGTCCTCAGCTTGTAAATCCAACATTTCTGAGCATACTTCCACTAAACTGAATTCATTAATTTTTCAGCAATTAAAATTGGTTTTGCACTGACATCAGTATAAATAGCAAATGAATGAAAAAGAATCCTTTCAACTCGTGAACTTTCTGCAAAGAATACCTTTGGTTTTTATTAACAGAGACTTTCATTTGGGAAATGAAGTTATTTCTATTTCCTATTCAAATGATAGAATTTGAATATTTCCTATTAGAAATCTGAATATTTCCTACTCAAATGTTGAGGGAGATTTTCCCATTTTCATTTGAGAAAACGTCATTACCACTGACTTGGCATGCTCTTGTTCAATCTTCCTCTGATCCAATTTCTTAAAATATCAGTATCATCTCATTTTTTCTATTATTAGAAACCAGCCAATATTTGCTTTCTACTCCCTAGTGCACCTAACGTACAAGAATAGCATGTTCCTCCAGAGGCGATGCCAGGGATGAGAAGGTGGTCTCGGGGGATGGGGGGGCCTGGGGAGGGGGGAGAGGTGAGGATGGGAGGAGGGGAGGGACGGGGGAGGCGGGCAGAGGGGTCAGGAACACAGGCCGGTCAGGCTGGGCCGAGATTCAGGCACTGCTATCACTGTTATTTTTCTCCGAAATGCTTTGTTCACAGCCGGGAAGAGGCATTCTGCAACAGCAGGCGCCCTGGGGACACGCCGGTGTGGTGTCATCTGGAAGGAGGGAACGGAGGGCTCCAGAACTCACACACCTTGTCTTTCTCTTTCCTTACGGCCCAGTGGAGTTTGGATGGCTCAAAGGTGGGTGTCTTGGTTTCCTGGGGCCTCTGCAACAAAGGACCACGTGCAGGGGGCTTCAAACGGCAGGAACTTATTCCCTCCCAGTGCTGGAGCCAGAGGTCTGACCGTGCTGCTTCCCAGGCTCTCAGGGAGGGGCCTTCTCTGCCTCTCTCAGCTGCCGGCAGCCTCGGGAGTGTGCGGCAGCGTCCCACGCGCTCTGCGTCCGCGCTTCACACGGCCGTCCTCGTGCGTGTCTTCGCGTGGCCTTCTCGTCCCTGCGTGCGCGTCTGCCACTTCCCTCCTAATAAAGGCACCGGGACTGCTGGGTCAGGGGCCCGCTTACCCCAGCGTGACCTCACCTTAACTAACTACATCTGTGATGACCCCTACTGCCAAATAAGGTCACCTTCGCGGGGTCAGTTAGGACTGCAGCATATTTTGGGGGGCGTGCGGGGAGGGCACAATTCAGCCCATCGTAGCAAATTGTTTCGTTTTCTGTCACCTTTGACGCGGTAACCACTTTCCCGAGGCTTCCCTGGTGTGAGCTTTTCCTACCTCTGTCCTCCTCCGCAGCTCTGGCATAGGGACAGGTCCTGGCTCTCAGACCCCCCACTGTCTGGAGCGTAGTGGGGCACCTCAAAACACGGAGGGCTGGAGGATGCTTCTCCTCTGGTCTCGATAATCTCGGGCTTTTGGCCTAATGTCTACAAATAGGAGCTGAAGAGACCTTCCACTCTGCCCGTTCTCTTCCGTAGCTCTGGTAATAAACCTCTGCGTCTTTAAATACACGGTGAGCCTGGAAAGAACCCTAGGAATTCTGACTCTGAAAAGTCTGTATGCGTTCCGCTACGCCATGACATCAGTCTGTCCTTCTGGGGGCTTCTCTCTGCCCCATTCCCGAGAGATGGCAGACGGCCTGCAGTCAGAGGAAACTCTGTGTCTGCACGTGCCTCCTAGAGTGTCAGCAGAACCAGAGATCTTCCTGAAATGTGTTCGAGGGGAATGAAGCCAGGGAAGGGGGGCGGTGCCCTTTCTAGCTCGGGGGCACCAGCCGGCGTGAGCCGCCTGTGCCCTATTTCCATCATCGCTGTGGTCTCGGGGGGCGGCCGAGACCTCTCCCTTCCGAGAAGCCCGGACTTTGTCCCCTGAGCCTCAGTCCCCTCATGGGTCAGACTGTGAGGGCACTCCCTAGGTTCACTTCAGCTTTGAAGCCTTGGATCGGTTTTTATGAGTTTATAGGGGTCCCAGAGATCACAGGCCGTTTGGGGGATGTGATAAAGGCTGTGGCCCCGGACCTTGGAAAACAATGTGATCTCAAGGGCGCGCAGAGCCCAGGAGCCCGACCGCGACCGCGGGTCTGCAGGGGTGCAGGGCGCTCACGTGCAGGAGCTGCGTGAGGGCCGAGGGGGCTTCCTCTGGGCCCAGTTGCAGGTGCTCAGCCTTCCACACTGCAGACTGCATGCTCCTGGCCAGTCCCCAGGTCCCCTGCCTGACCTTTCACTTGACCATCAGCTCCAGCAGCAAACATTCAAAGGGGCTCAGAGTTGGGTGCAGCCAGTGATGATGCTGACGTGTACCTGATTCCCTAGAGCAGGTTTTCTGGACGTCTGCAGGGTTTTGGACTTGGTTAGCTAATGCCAGGTACACCCTGGGATTCGGCAATTCAAACGAATGTGAACATTTCGAGCATCAAACCTGCCAATTGTCATAATAAGGCCAGAGCACAAATTCACCATGCCGAAAGTGTTTGCGAACTTACTGGTGATGCTGCCGGGCCCGGGTGAATAAGATGCAGAAGGTGAAGAGGGCAAAGGCCCCGCCTTGGAGGGACCAGCCGGCCAGGCTGTAGCCGCACCACTCAACCACCTCCCCGAAGTAGTTGGCTGCCGTCACGTATTCGAACAAGCCTCCTGTAAGGAAACACAGGCAAGGGGGGCGCTTCCTGCAAAACGGTGCCCAGTAAGACCCTGACCGAACCGACAGCTGTGGACACTTAGCATGAATTCAGCCCGGGGGGACACGGCTGCTCCAGAACGGTAATCAATGAAACACACCCAACATTACTAGTTCTACCATCTCCCATCACGATTTCTGGTAGTAACCACATATCTAGATCAATACCTACACTGTTCATCTGAATACAAAATGCGACAGGTTTCAGGTACTTTAAAATGTCACTTGACTAGTCAATGAATCACATGGATGAAAACTAAGTAAGGACCGAGACCACAGAATAACAATTAAGGAACTAGTTTGATCAGACAGACCTATGCAGAGGCCTGGACCCAAAATAGAAAAAATAAGAATTTTCAAGGGCAGATTCATTCATTCAGTCATCCATTTTCACAGATCCCTCAAGTGCACAGGACAGGCCAGGCCCTGCTCTAGGCACTGGGAGTGCACCGTGGATAAGACCACCCGCCGCTTCCAGAACACTAATCCCCAGCGTAGCCCACGTGGAAAGCACGGAGCCCAGCACATGGTGGGGAGTGCTGCAGAGCAGGAGAGAGGGGCCCAGAAGTCAGGCTGGGGGTGCAGGGAGGTCTGGTCGTGGCCGGTGGCTGGGAAGGGGCCTTGCTGGCAGGTGAGGTTTGGGGCCGCAGTGGTTGGGGCTGGGACACTCTGGGCGCTCTGGGCACTCTGGGCAGCAAAGGCTCGGAAGCTGGAGAGCAGAGTGGCACGCTCCAAGGACCACCTTAGGGCCATAGTTTAAACGACCTGAGATGTGTAGGGTTTTTCCCGTCATTTGTGGTCTGCCGGGCTCTCCGAGGCCTGAGTTAAAGACAGGTCTCTTTGGGGATCTGGCTTTGTGCAGGCCGGATGTGTGAAGGCACCCCCTCCCTAGGACCACATGGATCCTAACTCATGGCTTGAGGTTTTCGGAGTGTCCACAGTTGGCGCACATTTGGGCTACAAAGCTGCATGAGAACAGCTAGTGGTTATGGACTCCCACGAGTTGGGTCCTAGACTCAAGCATTTACCCAGCTTTTGCCCTCTGATGATTATGACTTCCTTTCTTGACACCACATGAATGCACTTTAAAAGATTTAAAAACAAAAACAAAAAAACATTTACCCAACATTTTTAACTATTTTCAGTTGTCCACTCCTGCTATTACCAGAAATGAGGTATTGCGCACCCCCGGTAAACCATAAATTCTTCCTCATATTCTCTTTCCAAAGAGATACAACTGGTTTCCTTTTTGCTTAATAACCACTCAGTGAACCAGAATGGGCTCTCCTATCACTCTAAGAAAACAATAATCATAGTGATTGCGATCGGTAATGGTTAGTTATTGGATCCGACAAAACTGAAACAGCAAGGCATCCTGCAGAGCAATCTGGGATCAAGTCTCCCGTTTTCAGTACGTACCCCTTGGTATCTTATATCCAGTCTCCCCTGGTTTCCGGAGATTCCTCAGGATATGGTCTGAATGGATGTTTATCAGCATGCCTATTAACCACAAGCAGAAACCTGCAGAAAAGCCAATACAGAAGAGTATTATGGTCAATAAACCAGGAAATTCCCAAACCCAAGCCTGAAGGAGCGGTATGACTGTAATCCGTCCTATTATCATTATGAGCAAGCCATGTGAGCCACAGTTGATGGTGAAAATCATTATAATAAATACCATGCTTCACTTAGAAAGATAAGTGCTGCACTCAGGTCTGCGAAAGTGGGCGGCAGCACCATCTGTGGGTCGGCTCCTCAGGAAAACTGGGTGCGGGTGGCCGGGCCCTCCCCAGGGCACACAAGAGCCTGGCCAGCCGCGCAGGGGCCCCTGCAGCTGTGGCTCCTGGTAGCTCGGCCCTGGTGCTCCTCTCTTCTTTCATTAGAGCCTCATTCACACAGGCTCACACCCATCCACAGCTTCGCCGGCGAGTCCCCTCCTGCTCATGGCCAGTTGCGCTCCTGGGTCTGCTCCTTTGCCTCAGCTCTGGACAGAATCCCCAGCCGCTGGCTACACGTCTCCCCCTACACATCCTGTGGCATCCCAGATGTTCTCTCTCCCGTTCCTAAAAGTCTTCGGAGGTTTTTCATCACCTAAAGGGAGTCTTATTAGTATCACGCAAATTAATTCCAAAAAGAAGACGGAAAATACCCAGTGTTTTATAAAAGGAATACCTTGATTTGATAAAAAGAGTTAATTTGATCATCCTGTAGTATTAGAAAACTGGGAAAGTCTGACAGTGCTGATGGGTGGCACTCGATTCAGGATCAAGGAAACGTCCAAGTGGAGTAACTCTATCATTCCTCTCTCCTCGGCCCCCCAGCGGCATGGACTCCTCTTCCAGCTACTACAGGGACAGGGGATGATGCATTCTGGCCCGCAGCAAGGGTTTCAAGCCTTCTTCCTTCTGATCTCACCACCGTAGGCAGTTTTCTTTCTAGATAGTTCCTGCCAAAGCTTGTAGTATTTTATAAGTCACTTATTAGATCCATAAATGTATAGTTGATTTGAGACCTTTTTGTGCATTGCGGTATGTCGCCTCTAGGTGATTTGGCCCCAATGTGAGGTTCCAGAAAGAATCATGTTCTCAAAATGCCATTTTTTCCTTATTTCTCTTCTAGGAGACAAGCTCCCTTTATTGTCCCGATTGGTAAGAAAACTAGTATTTGTGTTCATCTCAGCTAATTATTTAATCCTGTTTTGGGGGATCTTAAAATCTTTTAGATTAACCACTTCTACTGCTCTGGAAAACTTTTTGTTAGGATATTATTATTACTACTTGCTTAGCTCTTCATGGTAAGTAGCATAAATGCAATTAATTATTCATGTTATTTCATATTTATTTCCGTACAAAAACTATAAACTCTATGTAATAAGCATAACAGAAAAGTAACCTAGTTTGTTTCCCTGTTGGCTTTTTTTTTTTTTTCAGTTTTGATTCCTCCTGCTCACTTGTAGAGAAGTTGAGAGGTTGGTATACAATTTAGTGGTGTCTTTAATGTTAGACCAGCTTCAAAGACATGTGCAAGTGAAGTGGTCTATCAGCAGACCTACTTCTAATCACATTTAAATTCACTTTCACATTAAATTCACAAAGGACTCTTTGCTGTTGTTCATCAAACATATCCAAACAATTCATCATAGAAATGATTTGTGGGGGGAACTCAAACGAACATGCAAAGCCTACATCCTTGAGTTAACAACCCCCTTCCCCTTGCCCCTGGCAGCCTGCTCTTGGGGCGCCAGCACTGCGGTTCTGCTATTTCCTCAGTGCAGACCTTGGGCCAGGTGTTTAGGCATCGGTCTCCCTTGCTCCTGTGAAAGGTCCCTAATTTCTGTCCTCTCAGGAACTTGGGGTGGCAGAAGGCTCATGCGGGGCTCCTGGCAGAGAATGAGGCCTTCTCTGCAGGGCCCCCGCAGCCTGCTTTCTCCTCCTGCTGGCTGGGGTGGAAGAAAATCAGGTAGTCAAAAAGCGGGTAAGTCAAGAAGGTATTTGGGGGCACTGCACCAATAAAATCACTTGGGTCTGGCATCTGGTGGAGGGCTTGGCGGAGCTGCCGAGGCCCTTGGGGACCCTCTCACCCTTCCCCCACCTGGTGGCCGGGGGTGCACATACCCTGCTGCCACGGCACCCTGGTATGACACGTGAGAACATGGCCCTGGGAATAGAATTTTAATACACGGACACAGATGACCGAGAAACGTGAACATGCCTCATCAACAGCAGAGTACTCCTCCAGCGCTAGGCTCCCATGGTCACGCACTCGCACACAGAGCGATGCCCGGTGAAACGGGAGGCCACGTCAGGGCACTAACGCCAAGAGCTGTGGGACTCTCCGAAACTTAGAAGAAAACTTCCTCATCAACAAGAGCCTCAAGGCGATGTATTTTTTAACACTCTTGCATGTATTTTTGACCGCTGATGTTATATTTTCATTTTTACCCAGAACTTACAAGGCTTCAAGTAGAACTCAAAAATGATAAAGATTTAAAAAAAAAAAAATCAGAAACTTCACACACCTAAAAGCTTATTCAAGTTAGCATAATCAGCAAACTCTGACTGCCTTGTTGGAAGGTGACCCGTCGGACTTTTTCTCATATTCCAGAAGGAACTGTGGGCGGCTTAATGATGGTCTTAGATTACACGGCCAGTTAGTGACGGAGTTCCTCAATCTTCATCTGCTGCTCACTCTGCTGGAACCTGTTGCTATTTTTAGGTCCGCTTTAGGAACAGGTATTTATGCTTTCTGTGCCAAGTTGGCCGTGGTGCTGGGCACCTGCATCATCTGCTGCTGCTGGCGCCACCCGCCTCTCCCTCCGCATTCAGCCTCCCCACCACTAGGTCATGGACCAGCACAGACCCCTCTCTCCCTCGAGGAGCGTGGGTTTTCTAACCAGGAACTGCGGGGGCATGAAAACCCAAGTTCTGATGAGAACAACGGAGTGCATCCCTGGGGGGACTCTTACCTACTAGAAATCGGGGATCTGTGACCCAGTCGTCGGCATACACAGCATACTGGCTCAAGTATCTGCTTTGCAAGTAGCCATTATAGATACAGAACATGAATGCCAATACAAATGTATACAAGGGCATGGGCTTTCCTCCTCGGATCAGAAATGGGAAAATCAAGGACCTTAGGAAACATGAAACAGAAACACATTTAAATAAAACACAGACCAATGATAAGGAATCTCATTTCTGCAATTCTATTTCAAGTCTTGGGTTTTTAATCTTGCTTCCTTGTCCAGAAGTCATTCTCAGTAATGCTCAGACTGATATACTCTGTTCAAAGCAGAATTTCTAAAGAATTAACCATGTTTCAATAAGGTTCACCATAGTGCACAAACTCAGGATTCTAATTATATTGAACATGAGACAGACATATGGAGAGAAAATTAAAGGCTTCAAGAGGCTGTCAACATTTGCATTATCCTCCCTCACTCTCGTCTAAGCAACACGACGTGGGGGACACCATCACGCTATCCATCAGCACGGTGGCTGCATTGGCTGAGCATTCTCCACCCCACTCGTGGTACCTGGAGACACCCACACAGGAAACACCATGACACACGCAGGACAGAGCATGAGATGGACTCAGAGTGGGTATGCCCATCAACTCACGGTCACAGAGCTAGTGAGTGGCTAAGCTTTGGTACAAACCCAGGCAGCTCAAGGGTCACATTTTTCTATTTCACCACACTAGTGAAAGTTTAGGGAGATAAAATAGACGGACAAGAAAGTAGACCTTATGAAGAAAAGAGGACACAATATTGTACTCTGAACTTCCTCTGTAAAATCAGTATGTAATATGCTGAGAGAGGGCTATCACTACATAGCCTAGGGACCTTAAGGGGATAGTAAGGAACAACCATCTGCAACTTCATGCCAATAAATGTGACCATCTAGACAACACAAACAGACTCCTTCGATGACACGGGTGACCAAAACTGACCCCAGAAAAAATCGACAACTCAAATAGTCCTCTGTGAATGAAAGACATTGAAGTGACTTGTGAAGTTCTAGAAAAGGCGCAACTAGAGTTGGGGGAGGGGACTAGTTAGCTGCACAGAGGCCCAGGGACATATCAGGGGATGCAACTGCTCTGCATCTTATTGTGCTGATGATACGTGCTGTATGCAATCATCAAAACTGACCAAGCCACAGACTTAAAATGAGTGAATTTCATCCTATGTTAAGTTATATCTTAAAATGGGAAAAACATAAAGCCTCATTATTTGTTTCTATTCCGACCATCCACTCCAGGGCGAAAACAGAACAGATTCTTAGCAGCAGTAGTAACAGCCTGATAGCATGACACTGGCTATGTGTCCTCAAGGCATTCTCTTGTAACATGCTCCCTCAGGTCCTGCGAAGGACATTCTTGGCATCAAAGGCAGCCTTCAAGGTTCTCATCTTGCTCAGGCCAGCTCCCCTGAAGCAGACTTCATATGGGGTTAGGGCAAAGCACTGGTTGGTTGGAAACATGCATCTGGCCATGATGTCATCAGTGAGGTTAGTTGTTTGCCTGGAAACCAGTGTCGAGAAGGACCTCAAAAAGAACAGGGGATCTCAGCCATTTCTCTCTGCATTGTGGAAGCATGGTTCACTCTTTAGCAGAGTTGGGACAGTGAGCTGGCGTCTGGGATGCAGGCCCGCTGCAAGCGTCTGTACCGCAAGAGGTGGATTCTCACATAAATTTGCAATGGATATGATTTCTAAGCTCCAGATGGAGTTCCACCAGTGGTTTTTGAACATTTCAAAACCTATTTAACTGTAATTAAGGAACTGCCACCTGCCAACCAGAAGACATTCATCTACATTGTAGTGACATACTAAAGGACAAATATCAAGAGAAGAATGGAATAGAATTCCATAAATGTATTCCAAGCAATTGACATGTTAAATTACAATCAGAAACTTGTGGACTGAAATCAAAATTTGGCAGTACCAATGTATGTGAAAAGACATTTTCAAAGAGAAAATCTCGAGGTTCCTGGGTGGCTCAGGTGGTTGAGCCTCTGCCTTCAGCTCAGGTCACGTGGAATTAGTCCCACATCAGGCTCCCTGCTCAGCGGGAGAGTCTGCTTCTCCTCCTCCCTCTGCCCTTCTCTCCCCCCACTTGTGTTCTCTCTCTCAAATAAATGAAATCTTATAAAAACTTTTAAAAAAAGAGAAAATCTTATTGCCCATCAATCAGCATTAAGGTGTGAACACTTGCCATGGATGTTGATCATGGGGAATGCTAACTCTGAAGCCCAATTAAGTGAATGTTGTCCCCACCAAATAAAGAATTCTACTCTTCTTGTTATACCTGTTAGAGAAATTAAGGTATTAGATTTAGAATTTTCTCAATAGAAATCTTTGTGAAATATCTCTTTCACAACAACCCTAATTTTGTCCCTTGGTCCACAAAGCTTAAAAAAAGCACTATGGTCCTTTCCAAAAAGTTTTGACCCTTGACCTAGATGAAAACAGGGGTTACACTCTGGAAACCTCATTGTGACTTTCTTAGTGAATGCTCTTGCTCAAGGCCCCAGTACCTAGATTGCAGGCAGCCTCTTTGGTTTGGGGTCCACCTGGTCTGCGAGATGGGGTCTGTGCATCTGGGTCCTCAGTTATGCAATAGGAGAGAGAGTCACAGTGATCTGCTCCAGGGTGTGCCCTGGGGGAGCCTGGAAAAGACATGCCCAGAGGACCTGGGACAAGATTCACTTCTCTCTGGTCTCATATGAACCTCAGAAGCACGGCAAGGACTGGAAACAGGGCTTCAGAAAGGTTGATGCAGATCTCTTCTGTTCCTCTCTTATCTCTACCCTTGAAGGGACAGCAACGCCCCTGACGTCCATAGGCCTGGCCATAAAATCAGAGGTCGGGAGAACAAGCTGGCTCAGGCAATGTCACTTATGCCTTCAGACCTTGAAGGGGGAGCTAACATCTCCTCACCCAGCCTTCCCTACCCCACAGGCTGAGTGCACCAATATGAACCAAGCACTCCTGGCTCTGGGGTCTTCAGCAAGCTAGATGGCCGGATGCAACGCATCTTCCAGAGGGGAGCACTCTGCTCCCTCTTGCTATTTTTGGGATTGTCTTTCTCCTTTTAGGTTATGCCCTTTGGCTTTACTTCTTTTCCTTGGAAGTCCATGCAACAGTTGTTGGAAAGGGTTTCCTTTGAATTGGGTCAATTAGGAACCAAAATGGGGCAGGGGGGCTTCTGAGCATGACTTTTATCTGAGCCTTCATCTCGACGCTAGAGGGACAAGGGCAACCCAAGGATTGCAGTGGACCCCAGGCTGCTTATCATGGTGAAGGATCTACTTCAAGACATGATGCCAGGCTCCGTGAGGAAGGTAGACATGGCCGCTGGACCCACACAGCACTTGCCCTGACCCGGTGATCGGGGGCCCAGGACATCTCAGTTCAAAAGCCTTTCTCAAGTAGTGTCTCATCTGCACTAACAAGCACCCTTCCACATAGGAACTGTGGGAAACGGGCATTACCCCTCTTTGAGAGAACGTGTGAAGTCGGAAGTTGAAAATCCCTTAAGGTGGAAATCATCTGTAAGATAAACCGTGAAGAGCTTGCACTTAAAAGTACCTTATTTAGGTAATGTGTTATATAAGTCTATGCTCTGTTCCAATAATGAGCTAAAGGACATAAAACTGTCGGGTCCCAGGGAGGTACAAAGAGCTACAAAGAGATTCTGTTTTCTACCTCATCAGATGGAGTGTGGGATTGAATCTGACACTTTGTTTTCTATCATGTTACAATATCCCATTTTCCCCCTTCTGTTCCATGTAAAGAAACAGTACTTACTTTTTCATCAAGTTGTTATTACCCATGGAAACTTGCACATCTCTGTGGTTGTGAGGCAAGCAGGACAGCGGGACACGTTTGATGAGGGGTTGAACTGAGAGCTTTCAGAACCTGAATCTCTGTGGACCTTCGATGGCCAGGCAGCATGCTGTCTCCTGCGTGGGTGAGTTTACAAGCTTGGGGAGAGTGGAAGTGTTTCTCACAGTTCCTGACACAAAGTGTCTAGTAATTCCTAATCCTACACAAAATGTTTTTTTTTTTTTTTATACTTCACAACTGTTACTATTAACCTATGTAACAAATCAGGACCTGGAGGCTCAGAGGAGCCTGGTGGTAGAGACTCAAAAGTGGCAGTTCCAAGGCCATGTCCCCTTCCCACATGTTCTCCCAATAAACTGGAATAATCACATCCAGTTATTTTGCAATGAGAAACTATGTATTCATTCAACAAATGATTTGACTCTCAAAATAAAAGCAATTGGACATTGTGTCCCAGGTACAAAGAAACATCCAATTTGGTGATTTGCCAGCAAATCTAACAGTAGATTTAATCATTTTTAAATGTTTAAAACTGAAAGTGGTTGTTATAATTTTAATAACTATATTACTTTTTCTCAACAATTTGACATCTTTGAAATCTACAGATCAGTTCCTGTTACTTTTCCCTTCTGAAATGCTCTTTTGCAACAAAAGGCAGATTCCTATAAAGCCACACACTTAGATAAGCTCTGTGGGCTTTTAAGGCAAGGTTACAAATGCAATGAATATTTCACTACCTGTCATTCTATACTTTTGAATAAAAGTGTTTTTTTTTTTTCAAATTATTTGAATCCACAAGGCAAGGGCCAAGGGCTCAGTGTATCCTTCAGCTTCTCCAGTTCCCTGATGTGTTTTAATATTAAACATGCCATATGGCACATTTAAAAGTGAGGCTGGGGCCAGGTTCTTCCCCGCAGGGCCACCAGGAGAAAAGATGAATCCAGGCAGGTAGGACTCTTTGAGGATCACCATCAGGGGTAACAACAGAATCGAGATCCTGCAAGCTCAGGGAACTGGCTGAGCACCGACCTTGGGGAGGGTGTTAGGAAGAGGAGGCCTTGCGGGCATGTGAAAGTCTGCATTCAGCACTCTCCCTCTGCTTCACAGTAAAGGTGGTTCCTGGGGCCTCGGTGGTAATTGGCGCCATGTGCTCAAGTGGGACTTCGTAACAATTGTTAAATGGACAAGCGAACGAATAAGCCCAGTGACTCATTCGCTAACTCACCAAGTGGCAAGAGAAAATTCATGAGCAAAGGCAGCCTTGAGCTCAGTGACTACTGAAAAAAACCTGCTTGGCAGGAGAGGAAGCAGCAGAACAGGAGGTCCGACTGCAGTTTAGGGGCCTATCAGGAGGGCCTGTGACACATGCAGAGCTGCTCCGCACTGATGCTGGGGACCACAGGAAGCCACTGCCCACGGCTAGCGTGCACTCATCTGCGGGGCGGCAGACGCTGCTCCACGCACAGCAAAACCAAGGATGGTGTGAGAAGACACCCGCCGAGCCCTCCAGAACTCAGAAGCCCTGTGATCAGCATGAGACACCTCAGGGCATACAGGATTCAGGCAAACACTATAACCATCAAGGGCTGTGGGAAGACTATGTTGTTTGTCATGGCTTACAAACGTTCCTACAAATGTCCTTTGCCACCCAAGGGGGAGCCGCCCAGGGCTCTGGGATATTCTTTCCTATAGCTATCCCCTCTTCCTGTCCAGGACGGCCTTCCCTTCTTTCTCCGACTCTTCTTCCAAAAAGATCCCATAGATTTTTCTGTCTTGCATTCCTGCACTCCTTAAGGGAGTATCCTTTTTTTATTTTTATTTATTTACTTCAGAGAGAGAGAGAGAGAACGCAGGGGGGAGGCGCAGAGGGTGAGAGAGAAACTCAAGGGGACTGCGAGCTGAGCGCAGAGCCTGATGCGGGGCTCAACCCCACAACCCTGAGCATCACGACCTGAGCTGAAACCAAAAGTTGGATGCTTAACTGACTGTGCCACCCAGGCGCACTGTGAGTGTCTTGTCTCTATATCCCCAGTAATGAGTACAGGACCAGGTATGTAAATTAATCTTCTGAAATGTGTGCAGAATGAACACATAAAGACACACAGCTTGTCCCTCTTCTGTAAGCAAACACCACCTTCCCATTGACTATGGGAAGCCCCCCCCCCCCACCTGACATTGGTCCTCACCACTACTTCAGGCAGCTAGAACTCCCCTAGGGCAGGGCCCTGCCTCATTCCCAGGTAACCTCGAAGCTCAGCAAAGAGCCCCTGCAGGCATGTCCTGGTTCTGTAAGGCACCATGTCAGCATCTCCCTAGCATGCCCCCTGGTGTGAGTCTGTCCTGCCATCAGCCCAACTCAGGCTTGTACTAACATAGTCCCCCATCTCCCTCAGTCCTGTGTCATCTGCAGGACCCTCGATAAATGGTAGGGCTGCACAAATGTTCACTGGGTTGGCTGGATGGTTTACAGCAAGTGCTACATGCTGTTTGATCTTCTGTTCCCTTACAAATGCTCAGTGACTGTTTAATAAATTAGCTATTTGGGTAGAATGGAAAATGTTTATCTTTTCTATTTGGAAAACGTAGATGTCCCCAAACCGCACAGGCAATATGTGCTGTCACATGTACAACTTGAAACAGAATAGCCCAGCAGGTTGAAAAGCTACACCTGACCTAGCAAATCCCCTGGAGTACGTTTCTAAAGCCACTGCTCTTGGAATCAGGGGTTCAGTCCCAACCGCCCCTTGTCCAAAAAACTTGGGTAAAACACCTGAATTCTGTGTCTCAGTGGCCTCCCTGAAATGAAGGGTCAAGTTCTGGCACTCCACAGGTGACTGTGGCCTGGCGGGATACAATGAAACAGTGTTTTAAGTTAGAAGGCTCAGCTCGGGCTTTCAAAACTCTGCAAATTGTTCCCTTTACACAGTTCCAATGCCCCGTCTTCAGAAGGTTCTCACTGGCACTTGAGACTGGCAGCAGTGTGCATGAAAAACACGCAGGGTACATGCGTGGCTGTGCCATCTACATGACAATATGGAATGGTCTTATTAATTGCCTATTGAGCATTTGGATTTGCCAGCACTGTGCAAGCATTTTATGGAGTTGTCTTTTTTTTTTAAGATTTTATTTATTTATTTGTCAGAGAAAGAGAGGGAGGGAGCACGCACAAAGCAGGGAGAACAGCAGAGGGAGAAGCAGGCTCCCTGCTGAGAAAGGAGGCTGAGGCAGGACTCTACCCCGGGACTCTGGGATCATGACCTGAGCCAAAAGCAGACGCTTAACCAACTGAGCCACCCAGGAATCCCTGGAGTTGTTTTCATTTAAATGCATGCTAAACCCATGGGCCATCACTGCGCCCATTCCACTGACGGGGAAACGTGCAGCACAGCAGCTTAGTAACTTAGCCCGGGTCCCTAGTATGTGGCTGGGATGACACCTAGCAGTCTGACTCCAGAGCTCACTTTTGGCCATTAGAGATACCAGAGAGACACAGGTTCTAGCACATTTATGGAGACATGTACGTGGACATGACAACTCTACTGACATTCAGATTGCAGTAAGGCTTGAACACATTACAAAAAACAACAACAAAACCCTAGCAGCGTGACAGTAATTTTGCTCACTGGAATGACCTTTTCTTAAATGTTTTTATTGTTATGTTAATCACCATACATTACATCATTAGTTTTTGACCTAGTGTTCCATGATTCATTGTTTGTGCATAACACCCAGTGCTCTACACAGAACGTGCCCTCTTTAATACCCATCACCAGGCTAACCCATCCCCCCACCCCCCTCCCCTCTAGAACCCTCAGTTTGTTTTTCAGAGTCCATCCTCTCTCATGGTTGGTCTCCCCTCCTGCTATCTTCTTCCTTTTCTTTTTTTCTTAACATATGTTGCATTATTTGTTTCAGAAGTACAGATCAGTGATTCAACAGTCTTGCACAATTCACAGCGCTCACCGTAGCACGTACCCTCCCCAATGTCTATCACCCAGCCACCCCCTCCCTCCCCCCCCCCCACCACTCCAGCAACCCTCAGTTTGTTTCCCGAGATTAAGAATTCCTCATATCAGGCTCACTGGAATAATCTTAAAGAGTCAGGAATACAGGACTTGGAAAACCTTTGTTGAATGTTTGTGCCTGTTTAAAGTGCCTGCATACCACAGCTGATTCTGCATTTTATTTTCTAAGATTTTATTTTAGAAAGAGAGAAAGAGCACAAGGAGCAGAGGGGAAGGAAGAGAGAGCAGCAAAGAATCTGAAGCAGACTCTGCACTGAGCAGGGAGCCCTATGCAAGGCTCAGTCTCACAACCTAAGACCATGACCTGAGCCAAAACCGAGAGTCAGACACTTAACCGAGCCACCGAGGTGTCCCTGATTCTGTATTTCCAGTATCCCCAGTGCTCACGTAGACTTTTGCCCCTCATGCTAACCCTTTCACTACTTGTCCTGGGTTATTTGCTTCTCATGGCCCAGTTCAAGTTTCATTCCAGTGAAGGCAGTCCCATGTGTCTTCTAAAATTCCTGGGATACTCAAGCACAAACCACAGAGGCGCCAAGCCCTGGGTTAATTTATAAACATAAAGATCATTAAACTGTTAATAGTTCCACATTTCAGATTATCAACTTTGAGGCATTGAGAGTTCTCACAACACAATGATTTTAAATGATCGCTATAACAAGGTGAATTTAACCAGCACTTTCTGACACCTTTTGAGATTTGGGTTATTCACGTGTATGATATTTTCTCTCCTTTCTGGATGCCCTTCAGTGGTCACAAACCAAGATCACGTTTTTTCATTAATCCTGGCTTATAGATTGGCTTGCTTTTCTTTCTTCCATCGGTCATATGGATTTTCAGTGGCCATATCACAGAGGTGCACATCATACACATTTTGAGTAGAGGCTGAATGGCCAAATGCTAAACTCAGTATTCAGCCGAGCTCAAAAGCGGATGTCACCACTGGAAAACACATTTCTGGGATACAAGGATAAATCCACAATTTTAAGCCAAAGAAAAATTGCATAACGGTTTTTTTTTTAATCAGACATTTTAGTCAGATTTTAAAAGCTTGCAGGTTCTGATACAGGGAAAGGTCTCAGGTGGTCACTGGTTGCATGCCCACTGTACTGAAGTCATTAGAAAAGGAAAATGATTTTCTAGCTGCTGAACCTATGACATTGCTGAGTGAGCTAGCCTTCACATCCTCAAGCTTCCTCCCCTCTCCGAGCAGCTAGGTTATGCACTTAACTCTTCCATCACTATCTTTCCAGCCCTCTCTAACCCTCCCCCCACTTTCCCAGACTCTGCTAAGCTAAACTGTCTGCACCAGGGGAGGAAGGGGAAGGTGCTAGGCACTGGGCGAGAACGGCACGGACGGAGGGAGCCAGGCGCCAGGAGACGACACCAGGGAGGGGTCAGCAGGGCCAGGGCGCGAGGGAGGGTGTGCAGAGTGGTGCAGCTGGGAAGGTCAGGGAAAAAGAGGCTGCAAGGAGCAGGCATGCGAGCAGGGGGGAGGAAGGAAGGGACGGGGACCGGTGAGGAGAGGACCCTGGAGAGGGAGCCAGTGGTGCGAGGCGAGGGCGCCGCGGCGGGCGCAGGCAGGGTGCTGGGGGCGGGGGGGGGGGGGCAGGGGCACGCGGGGAGGCGCCAGGCGGCCGGCCGTTACCGTTGCGCGTAGTGAACGAGGAACATGGCCAGGAGGATGCGGTTGGGCGCGCGGCGGAGGCGCTCCGCCGCCGTGCCGGCGCACACGCACAGCGGCACGGCCAGCGAGGGCAGCTCCTGCAGCGCCCAGGCGGCCCGCGCGGGCACCCGAAAGGCGAGGCCCGGCGACGCGTAGCGCCCGTAGGCCGAGTCCACCCGCCTGAGCACCACGGAGCCCAGGAGGCCCAGGGCGCACTGCAGGTAGGCGAGCGCGTCCAGCTGGAGCTTCTCGACCGGCTCCATGGCGGGAGAGGGCTGCTGAGCCCCATGGCCCTGCGACCACTTATAGGGCGGTGGCGGCGGGGGTGAGGGGGCGGGGGGCGCGGTTACCTGAGGCCAGCGCCCACTGCCGACGCCGGGACCCTGAGCCGCACCCCTCCCCTCCTCCAACGCGCGAGGCGCTGGCGCGCCGGTCCCGCTGGTTGGACTAGACGCGGTCCGGCGCGGCGGGAGGCGGGCAGGCCCCACCCCCTCGCTGCCGGAGCCCCGCCCCCGCCGCTCTGCGCACGCGCGATCGCGGGCTGTCCGCGGAGCTGCCTGAGCCCGCGCGGGCTACCTCGGGGCTGCGCTCCTGGGGTTTCCTTCTTGCTCAGGGCTGCCAGTGCTGCCCGTCGCTTGCTGCTCAGCGGGAGCGCGGGTCGCGGCCCTTTGGGCGTCTTCCTCGCAGCGCCCGCGGGCCCGGGAGCGGCGCAGGCGCGGAGCGCGGGGGGCCTCGCGTGCCAGCCCGGAAGTCTGCGCGGCCGACGGTGGCGGGAGCTCTGCGGGCGGCGTGCGCGGCCGCGTGGGCCATGGGGCGGAGGGCGCGGGGCCGGCGGCTCCAGCAGCAGCAGCAGCAGCAGCGGCCGACGCGCGCGGAGGACAGCGCGGAGGGCGGGGGCAAGCGTCAGGAGGCGGTAGGACCCGGGGCGCGGGCGGGCAGGGCCCCCGTTCGTCTCCCGGCCGCCGCGGCTGGCGGGACGGCGCGGGGAGCCTTCTCCGGCCCTGGGTAGACGCGTGTCTTGTTCGTCAGGGCTGGGAAGGCGGGTACCCCGAGATCGTCAAGGAGAACAAGCTCTTTGAGCATTACTATCAGGAACTCAAGATCGTGCCAGAGGGCGAGTGGGACCGGTTCATGGAAGCGCTCAGGGAGCCCCTCCCGGCCACTTTGCGAATTACTGGCTACAAAAGGTAAGGGACCTCGCGGAGCCTTGATTTCCTGGAGTTGGGGTCAGTTCAGGATGAGGGTGCCCCCCTCGCCCCGCCAGGCCCCCGGCGAGTGTTGCGGGCCTGGAGAGCTGCTGTTTACCGGCGCTGTGGATTCCAGCGTCTGGAAGCATTGAGCAGGGAGCACGGGAGTCCAGCGGAATAGGCCGGGGGGTGTTGCAGTTCGGGAGGCTGGAAGACACGAAATGCAATCTGAGAAAAGGTGGACTTCCGGGCCTTCGGGAGCCGAGGATGCCTCCCCTTTGGAACACGTGAGAATTTATGATATTACACAGTTTGTGCGAAACTCCGGTTCTCTTGTCATTTTAAGTCCCCGTGGTTCCATCTTTCCGAGATAAGTTGCAAGTAGATGTGAACCCTAGGAATATTTAGGACGGAAGGAATGCAGTAGTAGTCCTTTTAGCTTGTCCTGTAGTGATGAAACGAGAGTTGTTTAAACTTTGAAGGCATAGGGTAGAAAAGGCACGATGAATGAGGTCCGCTTTCAGCGCAGAGATGGTTTTGGTTTTAAGACACTTGTCATCTCAGGTTCACAAAAGACAAGATGCATATTAAGCCTTTCAGATTGGATCAAAACTTACTTATTTTTTAATAGCCACGCAAAGGAGATTCTCCATTGCTTAAAGAACAAGTATTTCAAGGAATTGGAAGACCTGGAGGTGGATGGTCAGAAAGTTGAAGTTCCACAGCCCCTGAGCTGGTAGGTAAAACAAGTCTTCAACCTGATGGAGGTTTTTTTGGGATTTTAATCTTTGTCAGCTGACGGCATGTTTTTTGGCAACATGTTTTCTACTAGCTGAGAGAATTTGAATGTACTTTACAGACATCCCTGTGTGCTTTTACCCAGTGCTTTTTACCCGTATTATTTTACTTTAAACCGGTGTGCAGCTTTTTTTTTTTTTTTAAAGATTTTATTTACTTATTTGACAGAGAGAGACACAGCGAGAGAGGGAACACAAGCAGGGGGAGTGGGAGAGGGAGAAGCAGGCTTCCCACGGAGCGAGGAGCCCGATGGGGGACTCGACGCCAGGACCCTGGGACCATGACCTGAGCTGAAGGCAGACTCTTAACACCTGAGCCGCCCAGGTGCCCCGGTGTGCAGCTTTTAATGAAGGATTTGTGGCTAAGAGTTACTTGGTTCAGTTAATTTTTGCAAGTCGATCAACCTGTTTCCTTCTGTGATGGTACCACTTCTACCCATTTCCATTTAAACCCCTTGTTTCCTCACGTTGAAGGTGTTGTCACGTGGCTCTCCTACCTTCAGCAAAAGGACAGATTCGACCTGACAAAGGTTGCCACGGACTGCTCCAGCTGATTCTATATTTCTTTTTCTTTTAAGATTTTATTTATTTTAGAGAGAGAGAGTGCACACAAGGAGCAGAGGGGAAGAAGAGAGAGGGGAAAAGAATCTGAAGCAGACTCTGCATTGAGCAGGGAGCCCTATGCAAGACTCAGTCTCACAACCTAAGATCCTGACCTGAGCCAAAACCAAGAGTCAAGACACTTAACCGAGCCACCCAGGTGCCCCTGATTCTGTATTTCCAGTATCTCCAGTGCTCGAGTAGACTTTGCCCCTCATGCTAACCCTTTCACTACTTGTCCTGGAGGCATCCTGTGGGTTATTTGCTTCTCATGGCCCAGTTCAAGTTTCATTCCAGTGAAGGCAGTCCCATGTGTCTTGGAAAATGCCTGGGATACTCAAGCACAAGCTATAGAGGCGCCAAGCCCTGGGTTAATTTATAAACGTAAAAATCATTAAAGTAAACTGTTAATAGTTCCACATTTCAGATTATCAACTTCGAGGCATTGAGAGTTCTCACAACACAATGATTTTAAATGATCGCTCTAACAAGGTGAATTTAACCAGCACTTTCTGACACCTTTTGAGATTTGGGTTATTCACGTGTATGGTATTTTCTCTCCTTTCTGGATGCCCTTCAGTGATCACAAACCGAGATCACGTTTTTTTTTTCATTAATCCTGGGTTATAGATTGGCTTGCTTTTCTTTCTTCCATCGGTCATATGGATTTTCAGTGGCCATATCACAGATTTGTGATAGTCAGATTTTAAAAGCTTGCAGGTTCTGATACAGGGAAAGGACTCAGGTGGTTACTGGTTTCATGCCCACTGTACTGAAGTCATTAAAAAAGGAAAATGATTTTCTAGCTGCGGTACCTATGACATTGCTGAGTGAGCTAGCCTTCACATCCTCAAGCTTCCTCCCCTCTCCTAGTAGCTAGGTTATACACTTAACCAGTGCCTTGGTTTGGAGGTTTGACTGATGGTACTGTTTGAAGCAGGGGCAATCTGATACTTTTCAAAAGAAGTGGGTTTAAGGTTGCCTTTGTGCACATTTCTAATTGTCTTGCATGTTGGCTGCTTCATAGAATCACCAGAACACCTTTGTTCCTTAAACCTTGTGTTTAGAAATGCAGCTTTTCAGATGAGGAAGTCTGACAGGCCAGTAAAAGGAGCTGAAAAGCATGCATCCTGTAGGAAAGAGGTGCCTGTGGGTGGGTCATTGTGGGCATTTTCTTCTGCAGGTTCCAACAGATAACATGAGAATTAGGCTTGCTACTTTGATTGTTCTCTGCAAACTGCAGTTCAACTTTTGTTAGCCCTTATAACATTTAACAGGTGCTTTTCCATCTTGATTGTTGAACAGCCGCAGGGGGTCCATGAATAGGCAATTCTCCAACATCTGTGTGTTCTCTGGGTGAAGAAGGAACAGGAATCACTAGTAATTACTGGTGATTTTCCTCACATTGCTCTTTGCTGAAATCTTCTGAGCACACCAACTGAAGGGGTGTGAACAACATACTCTGTGATTGGGGTTCCTAACACTCAGCTTTTCCATTATCAGTGACAGTTAATGACAAGTTTTATTGTACAAGCAAATTTGCTGGTCAGGTGTGGGCTACCCATAAGACTCTTGGTGAGCAAGCAGAGCAGAAACTACCAAAACTTCGGGTGGTTTTCTATGTTGTTCAAAAAATAGAAATACATTGTATAATATTTTAAGCTTTTGGTACATAGTGGAATTAAATTTAGGAAAGTGTTTTTGGGAACCATGTTTTCTGGAAGGGATATTAAGTAGGACTCATAGTTTGGGCAGGTTTCTTTTTTTTCCTTTTTGTGGACTCAGAACTCTAAGGCATTATCCCAAAGCATTCTCATAAAAGCCTCGTTCTGACAATTGGTTGTTGAGAGTATACCTTATTGTCATTCTCTTTACGTTCTTTTTAACATGTAAACTGAAGATGATTTGTCATAAGTGTATATGTTAATGGAGATGTTTTTCCTGTAAGAATTTTTGGGTATAAAGATGACAGTGATGCTTTTAATTCATCCTCAGAAGACATGACAAGTTTCCAAGTAGGACTTTAAAGACTCAGGCGCTACATTCGAATTACGTAACTAAAAATTAAATTTAGTTCTTTAAGGTATCTTATTTGATGTTAAAAGCTACAAAGATTTTAGTAAACATTTGTTGGTCCAAAAAAAATGGTTACTAAAACTGTATAAGATGCATACTTTTTCATTTTAACGGTCAGTTTTTGTATTTAATGATTTTAAAGTTCTTAAGTATTTTTTTCAAAAGGTTAATAACTTTCACAATCTTAATTACTTGCCGTGGAATTTTCATCCTAGTAAAATTACATTTTTTAAATGGAAATTCAGTCTGAAATGTACATAAGGAAGTATTTGCTCAGATTATATCTGCTTTATTTTTATTTGAAAATGAAAATTCAGCTATTAATGATTAATAGCTAGATGGAACAATTCATGGCTGATTGAATGCATGTGACATTGAGCTTCATGATGTTTTGGTGATTTGGCAAGGTGGTAACTTGCATGATTCACTGTAATTGATCACATACAGTTCAGGGTTGCAAGAAATTTCGTAAAAGTCATTGATTGCATCACAGTTCAGGGTTGTAAGAAATTTCGTTAAAGTAGGTGTCTTGGCTCCCCAGTCTTGCAAAGGTTGCACTGAAACAGCAGATTTTGCCAAATACTGCCAGTGAAGGCAAATCTGCGTATATTCCTACCATTTCACCTCTAAGGAGGCCAAAGGGAATATTTAAAACTCAATTCTT